CATACACACACATACACGTACGTACAATTGCCACATAGTTCACGTTCACAACCGACAATCGCCACCACCAGCTCCATTCACCCATATTGCGTGCCATCCAATCCGGGATCCACACACGCACACATACACACACATATACTTCCACCTCCACACACACACGCGCCACGTACCAAAGCAGCACACTTCCTTGTTGCTTCGTGTTACCTTGATCCAAGGCAGAACACCTCCCTCAACTGCTTCAGCTGCGACAGCACAGCAACGCAACAGCAGCTCATCGAGCACAGCAGAAACCAACACACGCACGTGAACGCACACGTGGTGACGAGCCTTCCCGACACGATCTCAACCTGTGATGGCGCTGCAGCTGGATCAAGTCCAGACATGGGCTGATACGCACCAGCAAGAGTTTGACACGCTCGTGGCGGACAAGGCGAGCGCGCACGCAATCACATTGTGGTGCAGGGCACACCCGCAGCACGCCGGCCAGATCATGGCAGTCGTCAACACGATCCAAGGCAACCAGACGACGCCCTCGACCCCGGGCGCCATCTCCAGCAACTCGTCGTCACCGCTGCGTGAGAGTGCGATTGGCGGGCGCACCCCGGATAACGTGCGACGGCGTATCTCCAAGCTCGTGTATGGCAACGCCCGCGGTCTGCCCATCCTGCCGAACACCGCACAGTCGGTCACTGCCGCTGGTGCAACCACACTGGGCGACCACGCGCAGGACGGGAAGACGGGTGCAACCACGCCAGCTGACACCACTGCTGCTGCTGCTGCTTCATCGTCATCGACTGACATCGTTGCTGCGACTGCAAAGTTGGCGGGAACGCTGGAGCCTGGGGAGGTGATTCGGTGCATCGTGCACGATGTGCAGCACTTGCTCAACTGCCAGGAGGTGATACTCTTCCGCACGCTGCCCGATGGCGCTGGTCTTGGTGTTGTGGAGAGCTTTCTTGGTAAGGCACCGCAGCCACGCGTCGCAACATCCATCGCCATTGCAGCCGTCACCGCAGGCGCTCACATCGTCCTCAACGACTCCCCGGAAAAGGTGTGTGTGTGTGTGTGTGTGTTGGGGTGCGTGCCTGTGTGTCTGTGTCTGTGTGTCTGTGCCTGTGTGTATGTGTGTGTGTGTGTGTGTGTGTGTGTCTGACTTGTTTGTTTGTGGGCATGATGCCATTTGCTTTGTTACCACCTCACTCCCCCGCCGTCCTCACCCCCTTCCTCATCACCACCGCCGCCAGCACGAACTGTTCAACCCCGACATCGACTGCGCCACCACCGCCACCGCGTGTGTTCTTGCTGTTCCGCTCGTCGGTCCCCACGGACCAGAGGGTACGCACACAACACGGGGACGGGGGTGTTCGTGTGTCATGTGTGTGAGTGTATGTGTGTATGTGTGTGTCAGTGTGGTCAGTGTGTGTGTGTGTGTGTCATGTGCGTGTGTATGTGTGTGTGTGTCATGTGTGTGTGTATGTGTGATTGTTTGTTTGTTTGAGTTTCATGTGTGCGTGTGTGTGAAATTCATGCACCAATGCAAGATGTGCGTGCGTGCGACCTACCCAACACGCAAAAGCTCTCACAACCACACATGACACCGCCACGCGACATCAGGTGTGATTGAGGTGGTGAACAAGACGGGCGATGCCGGCGCGCTGCAGACATTCACACAGGAGGATTTGGTGCTCCTCACGCAATACTGCGCAGTCGCCCTCCACGCCTGGAAGTACGATCCCCAATATGGTGGTGGCAATCGCTGCTGGTGTTGAAGACAGTTGGTGGTGTTGTTGTTGTTGTTCTTGTTCTTGTTCTTGTTCTTGTTCTTGTTCTTGTTCTTGTTCTTGTTCTTGTTGTTCGTGTTCTTGTTGTTCTTGTTCTTGTTTCTTGTTGTTGCTCTGGTTGTTCAAAATTGTGGCTGTCCTGCTCCCCCACCCTTCTCGTGCGATTACCCTACACTTGGATTTGTATGGACTTGCCCTTTCACCATGGATATCACCACCACCTCTAAATCCCACGACACCACCACTACCACCACCACCATCCATACCACAACGCCACCACTTCCCACACCCCACCATCACACCCCACCATCACCGCCACCACCACCACCATCCATACCGCCACCAACAGCAACAGCCACCTGCTTGACGGGGCGCTGCGGGAGTGCCGGTCTATCAACACGCTCCTCGGTCTCGCACGTGGCATCTTCGCCGAGCTCGACTCGCTCGACCGGGTCAGCACAGGGGAGGGGGTGGTGGTGGTGGTGATGGTGAGGGTGATGGGGTGTGGAGAGTGGGATGGTGGTGGTGGTGGTGATAGGGTGGTGTGGCGTATGCGATGACGCGCTTTGCACCTACGTGTATATCCGTGTGAGGAGCCATGTGCATGACACCAACGCATTCTGCCACTGACTGTATTGCATCATCACGTCAGGTTGTGAAACGGATCATCGCAGACGCCGCAAATCTCACGGCCTGCGAACGGTACACACAGACAACCATAACAGTGCAATTGCCATTCCCATGCGCAAGTTGTTTTAATTACTTCAACCCACACACACACACACACACTCACACACACTCACACACACACATGCACTCTCACACGTATTTCTGCGGCAATGCAGGTGCTCGCTGTTCATGCTCGATGCGGATGAGCTGGTGGCGAGCGCTTTCGACGTCACGCCAGACTCAGACCCCTCCAGCCCAGACACCGACGAAGGTGGGTTGCAGCGGACGCGTGCGTGCGTGTGTGTGTGTGTGTGTGTGTGTGTGTGTGTGTGTGTGTGTGTGTGTGTGTGTGTGTTTGCGTTTGTTGCTTGCTTGCTGGTGTTGTTGTTTGTCATGTTACTCTTCGTTACATGTTTCATTTTATCTCCTTCTTCACTGCCACCCGCTCACACCACACGTCGACCCCCCCCCCCCCCACACACACCACACCACACCACGACCTGTTTTCTTCTGTGCAGACAAGAGCCCGCCGAGCATTCGATTCCCGAAAGGAAAAGGCATTGCTGGTCACGTTGCAACAACGGGAGAGGTGATGGATGCACATCATGTGAATTGAGATTGCTGTGTGGTTGGTTGTACTTTTCCTGTTGCTGTGCTTTGCATGATTGGTTGCTGAACACACGCGCGCGCGTACCGCTCCTCAACTTGCATGTGCGCACGTGTACTGACACGTGCACTGACACGTGTGCACATCTCACTTTGTCTGCAGGTCCTGAACATTGCGGACGCGTACAGTGATCCGCGATTCAACCAAGACGTCGATAAGCAGACGGGTACGCACGGCGCACAGCCAGAGCACACGAGAAGAACACGCACACGCACACACGCACACACGCACACACGCACACACGAACACGCACACACGAACACGCACACACGAACACGCACACACGAACACGCGCACACGAACACGCGCACACGAACACACGAACACGCACACGCACATATACTTCCTTCGATTCTCTGTTTCTCCTCTCTTCCTGCCTCTTTCTCGACGATGTGCTTTCACTGTGCATATGTGTGCACATTGCACGTGCTCACGTGGCAATTGCTACTTGCATCCCCGTGTGCTTTCGTGTTTGCAGGATTTGTGACGCGAAACATCCTGTGCATGCCCATCTTCGACAAGGACAAGGTCTCAAGCCCGCTGCACTGAGATGTGTTTTGGCACATGCACTGACTCACACACGCTCATAACCTCACACGCACACACGCACACACACACACTCTCTCTCTCCCCCCCTCTCACACACATCCGCATCCACATCCATGCCGCCCGCAGAAAGTGATTGGCGTTGCGCAGCTTGTGAACAAGACGTCGGGCCCCTGCTTCACTGCCGACGACGAGCGGCTGTTTGAAGCGTTTGCCGTCTTCTGCGGTCTTGGTATTCAGGCCGTCAAGATGCACGAGGAGACGCTGCGCAACGCAAACCGCACAAAGGTGATGGTGGTGGTGGTGGTGGTGGTGATGATAGATGTTGCTGTGGTGTGGTGGTTCTTGTTGTGGTGTGGTGGTGATTGGACTCGGGTTGCAGTGCAAACACATTTTCTATCTTCCCTTGTTTCCATTTCTTTGCCTTCCTCCATCACTACACCCTCTCACGTGCATGTGTGCATGTACGGGTGGTGTGTGGCTGCAGGTGACGCTTGAGGTGCTATCCTACCACAGCCAGGCCAGCGAGGAAGACGCAGAGGTGAGATGGTAGAGCAAATGAACGTGTCTGTCATGACGGCGACGGTCTTTTGCTACCAGCGATCAGCGCACAGACTCACGCGATCATGGGGTCATGACACGTGCACGCGCACACACACACACACGCATGTACGCACACACACACGCGCACACACACACACGCGCGCGCCTGCACATCCACTCCTCACCCATTGCTTTGTCGTCACGCAATTACATCACGTCGCATTGCGTCATTGCATCATGACGGCAGCGTTTGGCCGCTGTTCCGCTGCCGGAAGCGGCGACCGTCCGCCTTACGCGTTTTGATTGCGACCCGGGCCTCGTGCCCCTGGACGAGACGGCCCTCTACGCAATCCGCATGCTCGTCGACATCGGTATGTGTGTATGTGTATTGTATTGTTGTGTTTCTGTGAATGGTGTGGTGTGTGTGGGGGGGTTGTGTGTGTGTGTGTGTGTGTGTGTGTGTGTGTGTGTGTGTGTGTGTGTGTGTGTGTGTGTGATCTGTCCATGCCTTTGTGTCCACCTGCCCCCACATGAACCGCGTGCATCCTCTCACGACCCCCATGCATTCATCACCGCCACCACCATCACCACCAGGTGCGGTGCAAGAGTTCCGCATTCCGCACAAGGTCCTCTGCCGCTGGATTCTCAGCGTCCAGAAGAACTACAGAGCAGGTGGGCGCATGTGTGGCCCGCGGATGGTGTTTTGACTGTGTGTGTGTGTTTATGTGTGTGTGTGTGTGTGTGCCTGTGTGTGTCTGTATCTGTGTGTCTGTGTCTGCGTTTGTGTGTGTGTGTATTCTTTGGTGAATCGCCTGCCTCTCACACGGGGGCACTCATGCTCGCGCCATGATGGTGCACGTGTTGAACCATCCTCCAGTCAAGTACCACAACTGGCAGCACGCGTTCAGTGTCACCCAGTGCATGTTCACCATGCTCCAGCAGCCAGCCGTCAAGCAGTGAGTTTGAGCCCGCAATTGCTCCACACCGTGTTTGCCAACGTACACGTTGTCTACCGCTTGTGCCACGCATACGCCGCTCACTCACTCACACATTCACGTCACTCACTCACTCACTCACTCACTCACTCACTCACTCACTCACTCACTCACTCACTCACTCGCTCACTCACTCACTCGCATACATTCACTTCACTTACACCAATGCCCCCTGCCTTACCCCTCAGCCGCTTGAGTGTTCTCCGTCGCATGGCACTCCTCGTCGCCTGTCTCTGTCACGATCTCGACCACCGGTGCGGTACACAGTTGCTGTTGGATTGCACTCTTGCTTGTTGTGTTGTGATGTGTTTTGTCTGTTTGCTGTTGTCTTGTGATTGTTCGGGGTTGCCGTTCTGCTGTTCTCTCCCATCCTCTCACCACCAACACCGCCACCACCACCATTTCACCATCCATTGCCACAGCGGCACGAACAACGCCTTCCAGAAGACGGCAAACCACGCGCTGTCGCAGCTGTACAGCACGAGCACCATGGAGCACCACCACTTTGACCAGTGCCTCATGATCCTCAACACGGACGGCAACAACATCGCCAGCACCCTCTCCGTCACCCAATATGAGCGCCTGATTCAGTACGTGGAGGAGGCCATCTTGGCCACGGATCTCGCAGCGTACCTCAAGGCCCGGCAGACTTACTTCGTGAGTTGATGCGCGTGAGGGGACAAGTGTGTGTGTGTGTGTGTGTGTGTGTGTGTGTGTGTGCGCGCGCACGTAAGTGTGTGTGTGTGTGTGTGTGTGCACGTATGTGTGTGTGTGTGTGCGCGCGCGCGTATGTGTGTGTGCTTGCGTTTGTCGTCGACTTCAATTGATGCTGTCCTCATCACCACCATGCAAACACCCCATCAGGAACTTGTGAACAGCGGCACATTTGAATGGACGAACCGCGATCACCTCAAACTGTTCATCGCGTGAGTCATTCGTGCAATGGCAGCACCGTGTTTGTTACATTAAAATATATTTGTGTGTGTGTGTGTGTGTTCGTGAGTGCGGTACCATGGCACATCCTCACTTCACTCACTCGCTCACTCGCCTCATTTCCCCCCAACCCAACCCACCACCTCAACAACCAACCACCTCAACAACCCCGTGTAGCATGCTGATGACGGCTGCGGACATTTCTGCCATCACCCGTCCGTGGCACGTGCAGCACCGCGTGGCGGAGATTGTGTATGCCGAGTTCTACGAGCAGGGCGATATGGAGCGCCAGATTGGTGTTGAGCCCGCACCGCTGCTCGACCGAAACCGCGTCAACGAACTGCCAAAGCTGCAGGTGGGCGAGGGGGAATAAAGGGACGAAGGGTGGTGTTGGTGTTGGCGGTGGCAACGGTGGTGTGGTGATTTTGGTGGACTTGGTGTGGGGGTTTGGTGTTGATTAAACACTGCTTACGCTTTTCTGCAATTGCCCCATGGTTTATTGACTTGCGACTTGAGCATTGTAGTTTATTTCACGCCTCACTCACGCTCACGCATTCAAGCATGAACGCATTGACGTGTTTGCAATCCACACATACAAACACTCACACGCACACACCCTCGCACACACGCACACTCACACACACACACACTCTCTCTCTCTCTCTCACTCACGCACACGCATTCGCACCCTTCACACCCACGCCAGCTTGGGTTCATTGACTTCATCTGCTGGCCCGTGTACGAGCACCTTGGCAAGCACGTGGCGGACCTCCAGCCGCTGGCGTCGCAGGTGCAGAGCAACAGGAAGCGCTGGGAGGAGCTCCAGGGCCGCTATCAGGGATTCTGCTCAAACTCAACAAGCAACATCTCCGTCCCGTACGTCGTGATGGTTGTGTGATGGGTGGGGGATGGCGTTGTGCGTGTGTGTGTGTGTCTGTGTGTGTCTGTGTCTGTGCGTCTGTCTGTCTGTCTGTCTGTCTGTCTGTCTGTCTGTGGCTCTTCGCTGTTTCCTTGCGACGCCCACCAGCCAACACCTCATCATCACTCCGTATCACGTCGACGCGCTTCAGGGCGGCCCAGCGGGACAGTCAGCGGAAAGACAAGAAAACGGCAATGACACCGCTCGCATCTGGCGAGGCCGTGACGAAGGATGGAGATGAAGGCAAAGGCGAAGGCAAGCTGGATGAGGGAATGAAGCAGAAGGGTGGAAGCAAGGATGAGGAGAAAGGGGACGATGATGCGACGAAGAACGGTGATTGTGGCGGCAGCGGCAGTCAAGAAGAGGTGGATGAGAAGGAGAAACAAGGCGCAGAGGAGACGAAGAAGGGCGCCAGCGCCATCGAATCGTTCAACAACAACAACAACAACAACAACAACAACAACAACAACAACAACAACAACAACAACAATGTGGATGGCGGTTCATCCTCCTCAACCAGTGCAAAACAGCAGAAACAGCAGAAACAGCAGAAGGTCGGTGCCAAAACCACGACAGTGACAGCAACCAAGCCGAGGAAGGCAAACAACGTTGTCAACAACTCCAAGGCGTGCACGCTGCTGTGACCGTTCTCGCAACCTACGACTCTGTGCACCTTGCATGATTGCACTTGCTCCTCGTTCGCGTGCGTGCATTCGCTCTTTGTGTGCTCGAACATCCAAAGCACGTTGCTGCCGGCACTTGTTGTGCAACACAACACTGTACATTTGATTTGACTACTGGCTGAGAGTCAAGACACATGTGGTGCTTTCCGCCCTCGCGTTTCATTTTTCCTTCCTCAATTTTCCACAACCAATATGATTCATGTGTTGTGACATGACTTCCAACAACTTCAATCTATGACAACTGCATACAATCCACGCATACACACACACTCACACACAAACACACACACACTCGCACGCACACTCCACTCACACACACACATGTAACAACGCGCATTATGCGAGCGTTGCCTCTCGCGCAAGTCGCATGACAATCGCTGACGCCGCAAGACGGGCCTGGTCGAAGAGTAACACAGACACATGTACATGCACACAGCGGCAGGCAAATGCAGTGGCGATGTGAGCGCAACAGGTGATCGTGGGTCAACCCAGCCACCAACCACCGCAACGCATCAGATCACACCAACCAATCATCCACAACCACCAGCCACCACGTACAAGCAACAACCAGCGACAATGATTGTCACCTGCGTGTCGTGTTTCTCGATGGTGTGCGCCCATTCCACTTCACCAAACCGGCTCGTCTGGAAATCCGTTTCCAAGCGCGCCTGAAGGACAAGAACAGCAGCAAGGGATGGGATGAGATCGACATCAAATTACCAAACATGTAAACACGCCACTCTATCTACCCTCAGCACACACACACACACGCACGCACACACGTACCGCGGCCGTTGCCTCCTGTGCGTTGATGGCTCCCTCGCGCAGTGCGAGCGCAATGACGGCGGATTTGGCCGTGTCGGCCGCCAGCTCATACGCTGGTGCAGTCGCGCGCGCACGTGTGCAGATGTGAGTGAGTATGCACGTGGTCCACAAAGGGTATGGAGCCATGGTATGCACCGAAGCACATGAGCGACACAGGCACGCAGATGTACAGCAAACAGCGCAGGCACATCACCGCAAGCAACACGGACACAGACTCACACACACACTCACTGACTCGCACGCTCACACTCGCACTCACACTCACTTACTCGCACACTCACTTACTCGCACACTCACTTTCTCGCACACTCACACTCACTCACACTCACTTTCTCGCACACTCACACTCACACTCACTCGCACACTCACACTCACACTCACTCGCACACTCACACTCAAACATGCATATACAGCAGACGTGCGCACACCTGTGAGTTCGAACGGGGTCATTCCGAGCAGTTCGCGACGCATGATGGCAACGGCTTCCGGCGACTGCACCTCGTCCAGCCGATACGTCACCATGAGCGGCTGGTTGTAGCGCTAAACACACACACACACACATGTATACACGTTGACATGGATACGCACACACACGCGCACAAAATGTGTGATCAAGCAATGTGAGGAGATGTGAGCATGTAAACTGCAACCTCATGACCTCCATGGGCATTTGTGTGTGCCACTGCTACCAGGTTATCCACCTCCGCCACTCACCCACCATCACCGTGCATGACGCACCATGGCAAACCACTCCACAATGGGGTCCCAGATTTCGCTCTGCATGTCAATGAGCGCCCGTGATGTGTCTTCACGGAAGCAGACGGTGTCTGTGCGCATGAACGGCTCCACGTTGTCGATACGGTCCTCGTGGCTCATGCCGCTTGGGTTGTCGATGGCCGTGTTGCACAGCAGCGTGACGTTCATGCTCGAGGGCTCAATCACGTCGCCTTGCACATCCCACTCAAAGGCAACCGTATGCGCCAACTCCTCCGACGGGACCTGTAAATCAACACAAAGATAGTACGCATGTTGTGGGCATTTGAGAGCTGTGTCAGCCTCGAGTTATCGTTCCAACCCTCTGTCAAGTCACACCACGAAGCAACGCAATGCATGAGCCGCACAAACACACACACACACACACACAAACACACACAAACACACACGCACACACAAACACACCACAAACGTGTTGCGCTTTGGCGTCTTCAAGCTGCGCTTGTCCAGGTGCACTTGGAATCCGCCGTCGCAGGGCACAACAGAGGCCTGAAAGGAGGAAAGCATGAAATTTAGGGAGTGTGCTTTGAACAACGAAAGTGGCTGTGTGGCACAGTCCGAACAACAGCACACATTGCTTCACCACACACAAGCTGACGCACACATTGCTTCACCACACACAAGCTGACGCACACACAAGAGCGAATCTACCTTCTCGTAGAATCGCTTGATGGATTCAGAAGTTGTTGTTTTGGAGAGGTTGTGGCACTGGGTTGATGTTTGGAGGGCACGAGTCGCTGTAGCGAACCTCGTGTATGCCAGCTGCTGGTGGTGCTGGTGGCACTGCGCCACACCACGAACACCCGCGGCAACTGCCCGCCCCAACATGCGCGTCATCGTCGTCATCGTGTGGCGCTGTAAGTTCGGAGTATTTGCAACTTGGTACATAATTTTCAGCACAATCCTGGAACGTGCTCACGCACAGCTGCTCACACACACACACACACACACACACGCACACACACTCACACACACACACACTCACTCTCACACACACACACACACACACACACACACACACACACACACACACACACACACACACACACACACACACACACACACACACCAGCCCACACACACACTCACACACACACACTCACACACACACACACTCACTCACACACTCACTCATACACGCACACTCACACACTCACACTCACACACCACAGCCGCACTCCAATGACACGGCGTCCGCATGCTTCAAGCTCTGCCAGTGGCGCCAGCGCTGCTTGGGCATGGTGGCGGTCACTCGGCAGCCCACGGTACGTGTGCGCCCCAATGGTGTGGCAGAGTGAGACCGCATTCCGGCGACTGGTGACGGCCGAAGGAGGGTGCGACCTAGCGTACACCCCAATGATGCACGCAGACCAGCTGCTCGAAAACAACCTCGCCGCACAGAGCCACCTCACAGACCTACGGCAGGACATGGAGAGGGGCCGCCCATACCCGCTGCTGGGCCAGTTGTGCGCAACAAACGCGGACGACTTTGTACAGGCTGCGCAGCTGGTGGAGCCGTATGTGGATGCGGTTGACTTGAACCTCGGCTGCCCACAGCGCACAGCACAAGCGGGCGGCTTTGGCGCGTTCCTCATGGAGCACCCGGACACGGTGGCAGCGATTGTGCAGCGCGCCAGCACCACGTTGCAAGTACCCGTGTGCTGCAAGATTCGCGTGTTCACCGACGTCGACAAGACTGTGGCGTTTGCCAGGATGCTGCAGGAGAGCGGGTGCAGCATGCTTGCGGTGCACGGCCGCACAAGGGCGCAGCGCCACCACGAGGGCACCCCACATTACGACACGGTGCGCGCAATCGTGGAGGCACTGGACATCCCTGTTGTGGTCAACGGAGGCATTGCCACGCGACAACAGGCTGATGCCATTCTTCGCCACACGGGGGCCTGCGCAACGATGAGCGCAACGGGACTCCTCGCCTGCCCGCTCATGTACACGGGCGTAGCTGCCTCCGAGACCACCCCCTTTGAGCACGCCCACAAGTACTTGGAGTACGCATGTCGGTATCCGCCGCCGTGCGCGCGCTACATACGTGACCACGTGCTGGCGCTGTTTCGCAGCCACTTTGCCAACTACGCGCACATTGACGTGTACAACATGATGGCACGCAACATGGCCGTGCGCACCGCAGCCCAGTATTTATGCTGTGTGCGCGTGCTCGCCAGTCGGTGCGAGCTGTCCTCGCTTCCAGGTCGCCTGTCTGATGTGCCGGTGCTCACCCTACGCCGCATCAAGAACCTCACGGGAGACTGGCCGCTGCACACGGGTGACGGGTGGGAAGCCATGCTCGCTGCGCTGACACAGCTGACCGCCAGCGACCCCATGCACCGTGGCGCACGTGCAGCTGACTCCCACCCCATTGTTGCAAGTGGTGGTGATATTGATGGTGGTGGTGGTGATATTGATGGCTATAATAACGACAGTGTTGACCTTGATGATGATGATGCTGTTGTGCTGTGGGATTTGCCATGATTGTGTGTGTGTGTGTATGTGTGCGTGCGTGTGGTTGTTGTGTCTGACTTCTCGACGCTTGAGGAAGAGATTTGAACGTGGTTGTGCATGCATATGTATTTGTGTACATCATTGGGGCAGGTTAAAGTAACAAAGGGAGGCCAGTACAACAGACGTAACATGATGCACCATGTCAGAGCAACAGACCAAACACAGCGTGTAACATAATGTAACGACAAAACCGTGTGCAGAGACCACCGACATTGATGTGCGACAAAGCTTCAAGCAGCTACCAGCACGTTACATTCAGGGTCACACAACACACATGCAGGGTACAACCCTCTCCTCGACTGTGTGCAGTGCATAAACCAAATCCACGCATCTCTCATGTGCACACATGCACCTCACGATGCCTGCTCTTTCCCTGTCTGCTTCCCTTGTGCGTGCGGTTTCTCTTTCTCCTGCTCCCGTGACAGCTGTGCTTGCATCGCTATTCTCCGTTGCTGTGAACATGTGTGTATGTGTGTGTGTGTGACATGTGTAGGGGAACCATATCATCGTCAACTGGTGCAAGAAAGTTGCACTGCACTGCCCACAACCACTCCCACAACCACAGTGTGCGCGGCATTTCCTCAGTCTCACCGAGCATTCCCCCCCCCCCTGCTTCCCACCCGCTTCCCACCTCGCCTCTTTTGACGTCTCAGCTCACCTTGACTCGTTCCACTTGCTGTCGCAGTGTGTTGTTGCGGCTCCGCAATACCGCGTTCTGTATCGACAGCGCCTTGATCAATTCCTGTCATTGGTGACAACGCACGACCAGGCAAACAGGCAAAGACATGTTGGCGCAGAAAGGGTCAGTATCAGTGCGTGGAGTGTGAGAGGTTGCACGTGAACACGCGTGTGTAGAGCGCACACAACCGCATGCCCGCATACCTTCAGCGTATCAATGTCCAAGTCGTGTCGCTCTTCACTCTGTCCGGCAGAGGTGGGGCACATGCGAGAATGTTGAGTGTGTGGAAGCTGAACGACACGCACCACGCACCTCCAATGCACAGATGTGCTGCAAAAGCCACTGCCTGTCTTCACACGCACACACACACACGCGCGCGCGAGCAGAGATCTCAAGTGCAGAAAGGGGCTCACATGCACTCGTAGCGTGTCGAGGCTCTTGGTTCTCACGGGTCCCGGTCTGCGCGGTGGCAACTGCAGTGTTTGCACTGCCAACTGCAAGCACAATGCACGCAGAACACATGTTGGCATTGCGCGTTTAGTGCGATACACAACACACACACACACACACACACACACACACACACACACACACACACACACACACACACACACCGCGCATGCACACACACACACGCACACACAGACACACACCGCGCATGCACACACACACACACACATACACAACGCGCATACACACGCGCACACATACACATACCTCCAGGTTGTTGAGGGATGAGGCGCGTCGAGGAAGCTGCGGCTCACCGTTGGGGCCAAAGGGAACCCATTTCGTGCGCGCCTGAACGCGTGTTGGTGTATATGGGTGAGCGTGCATGAATACGTGTTGGCGTTGCGAGTACAGCAGGTCAAAACAAAAGCAAAGGGACGCGGCATTGCGGCATTCGCACTGGCCACTGCAGTTCTGCTGTGACACCGCTCGCACCCCCTCCCATCAAACATAAGGCTACCATGCCAGCACTTACTGCTGAAGTTGAAGCGCTGTTGTCGTTGGAGCGAGCAAACGCGTCCATCTCCATGACTCTGTAGTCCTCGTCTTGTCCCTCCGCGCCTTCGATGATCTCGATTGCACCAGCGTGCTCTGTTCTGCCGTTGTCCTCTTGCGGCACTGCAGTTTCTGCAGCGACTACTGCGGCTGGCCCTGTTGTTGTTGTTGTTGTTGTTGTTGTTGCGGTACCTGCGGCCTGCTGCTCCACTTGCTTGTCTTCGTCCGCACTGGACACCTCATCAGCATCACTGCGCACAGCAACACCATCCACAAGCAGCGCAGGCGTTTCCAAGCTCGACATTGGCCTTTTTTGTTTTGCCTTGTTGTAGTTTGTGTTTGGTGGTTTGTGGATATGAGCGCTGTTTCCTTTTTTTTTTTTTTTTCTTTTTTTTTTTTTTTTTTTTTGTGTGTGTGTGTGTGTGTGTGTGTGTGTGCTTCTGCTTTGTGGTGAGCTGGTGTTTCCACTGAGCTTCTCACTGCCTCAGTGCCAAGAGGTGGCTGGCTCATCACTTCAAGTGAGCTAAATCCCTAGATCCTCCAACCTCAATTTCTCTTCTGTGTTCGTTGGTGAACTTCTGAACTTTGCTTTGTTGCGCATTACAGGCAGTTCTCTATATTGGCAACTAGGTGTGGCAAGCCCAAAAGTTTCCAATGTAGAGAAAGTTGCCGGTGTGGAATGAGCGTGTTTATTGTGTGTGTGGACCAAAGAATGAGTGCAGTGTGGGTTGCTTTTGCGTCTTGGACATAAAGAAGGCATCAACGTCGCTGCGAACACGAGACACAAGTGTACATGTGGGACGGAGAGATGCAGAGGATTCACACAGTCTGTTGAGAACTGTCAGGGCATTGTAAACTTCCGCACGTGTCGGTGCGGTCGGTGTCGCTTCGTCTTGGTCAGAGTCACTCCCGTCGTCGTCGCTGCTTGTGGTGGTTGTGCTGCTGTTGCTTTCTATGCGCTCAAGCTCCAAATCAATCATTGCATTCACGATATCAGGGTCATCATCTGACGTCGCCCACTCCTCCGTTCCCTCCGCAACAACCTCAACACGCGCATCAGTTGCAATTGAAACTCTGGCTTGCAGTGATTGAGCGAGGTGACTTATTTCATCAATCGCCTCCTGCTCTTCCGTCCTTCTCTGTTCCGCCTCATCGTACTGTTCATTCTCCGCTCCGAGCCCATCTTGTACCAGCTGTCCGCCCTCCCCTTCCTGCCCTTCCTCTTCACTGCTCCGTTCTGTCAGCATCTCATCCGAAGTCACTCGCTGCTGTTGCTGTGTATGCTGCTGTGGGAAAAAGCTTTCGGGTAGGCAAGCTGCCTTCATCCAGCACCGCACCACTGACTCAGGCTTGACCTCATCCCACACTCGTTTCAAGATCGTCAACGCGTCTCGAATGTTTGGTGGCGCTCCATGGGCAAGACCACGCAAGCCACGGCTCTTCGGTAGTGGTGTCTGCTGCCCGTCGTCGTAGTATGCGAGGAGCTGCTGCAGCACGTATGCCTTGTATCGCATTTTCACGGCCGATATCAAGCCCATATCCATGGGCTGGTGTTTTGACGTTAGGTTTGGGGGCAAGAACAACAGGTGCAGCTCCTTCGGCGCAGGGTTGGTGACGTTTTTGTGTGCCGGGCAATTGTCCCAGATGAGAACAACAGGCTCGTCTCCATAGCGTGAACGCTTCCACTTGAGAAAGAAACGCACGTAGTAATTGGCCATGTCAGTGTCGAACCAGGCTGATGCTTGAGACGTGTACCGCACTGGTGGGAAGTCGTCACGAAGGCACATAGGTCTCCGGCTCTTTCCGACAGAGAAGAGTGGCACTTTCTCCCCCGCTGCTGATGTTGCCGTCATGATCGTCAGCCGTGCTTTTGCCGCCATCTGCTTCACTCCGCGAACACTGCGCTCCGATCGAGACACGTAGAGTCTTGAAGGTAACGTCTGGTAGAAGAGACCAGTTTCATCTGCGTTGAGACGAATTGGGGGTTGGTGATGCTCGTAGCAGAAACTGCTTGCTTGAACTCTGCCATTGCCGTTGCTGCTGTCTCTTCGTCAACACTGCCAGCCTCTCCATGTAGTCGCACGCTCTTGATGTTGTGTCGCTTGCGCACGCCCTGAAACCAGCCAAGGGCTTGCGCGAAAGTTGTCAAGTGTTGCTGCCTTGTCTGGATGCGTTGCTTTCATGTCTGCAGCAAACTTGAGGGCTTTCTCTTGCACAAGCTTCCATGAGAGCCCGAGGCCATCCACCAGGTACTTGCGCTCGCGCAGCTTGATGTACTGCACCAAGCGATCTTCAATCTCGCCAAACTGGAGCGGTCGTGCCTTCTTGCATGATGCGTCGCGCTCATCCCCTCGTAGCTCTCCTACCTTGACCTTCTTCACCCACTTGCTCAGTGTTGCTGCCGTCACACCATGCTTCTCCGCAACGTGCTTCTGCTTGGTGCGGCCCGCAATCGCTTCCATGGCGATGTTGTACTTCTCCATCCGTGTCTTCATCTTAGTCATAATCGTGTGTTGCTGTTCACGCCCGTTGCTGCGGCCTTAAGCGACGCCTTCAAGCTGCTGATGTCGTTCGTTCGTGTGCGTGCGTGTGTGTGTGTGTGCGTGTGTGCGTGTGTGTGCGTGTGTGTGTGTGTGTGCGTGTGTGTGTGTGCGTGTCAATGGTTGTGGTTTTTGGCGCGACAGTTTTGAGCGAGAGTGTGGCGCGGAGATTTGTTGCCAATGTGGAGAAATTTCCAATGTATTTCTTGCCAATATAGAGAACTGCCTGTACATCGAAGATAAAAAAGCAAGGGAGCTCAATGAAACAAACGACAATAAATGTGGATGCGCTGAATGATGGGCTTTCTTGCCACAACATCGCACAAACACATCTTGCTTGCTTGTCGTCTTGTTTAACGTTCCTGTTGTTCTTGTTGTTGGATCAAATCACACATCAAGTGTCATCCATCCTCCATCTTTCGTGTTCCTTCGTCAAACAAGCCAACCACCACTCGTCGAGTCAGCCCTCCCACCCATCCTTCACCCATCCACCAACACCCCATTCGGTGTTGCGTGTCAATACATACAACCCACTGTTCTTTTTGATTTGTTTTTATTGTCAAGTTGTTAACAACCGGGCAACCAAGATGCAAACAAGTGAAGAGAAAAAGACGTCGAAGATGAACACAGAAACACACTCACACACACACACACACACACACACACTCACTCAGACAGCCGTACTGCGAATAAAGCAACCAGACCAGGCCAGACTGGATGACTAAGGTGACGTTAACAAAGGGACGCCCAAACAAACGCGCTTGGGACAGGTCAAACAAAATACATTCAAAGTTGCACACTGTCATCATTGCTGGCTGAACAAAAACGCACGTCATACCATCACTACGACACGCCACAACGAGATAAAATGGTAATGATGATGATGAAGAAGAAGCATATGTAAGACATACACACACACACACACACACACACACTTTCACACGGTCACTCTCATCCACTCACTCTCACACTCTTGCACTCACTCGTACACACACCTTCACACACACACACACACACAGTCTCACTGCCACACTTTCACCCAATCCTGCACAGTCTCACTCCCTCACAATCACAACCACACCACCCCCTCCTCCTCAGCACGCCCGTGCTCACTGCATCAAGTAGTTGCGGAACTCCTTGAGCAGGGCATCGTCCATCGCCTCCGCAGAGTACTCGTCCGGGGCGCAGTCGCACCGCGGCGGGTTCTGCTTCGCATGGTACTCGTCCGTGTGCTGCGTGCGGCGGCGGCGGTACACGGGGGACGGCTGCGTCGCCGCCACCGTCTTGAAGCCAGCCTCCCGCACGGGCTTGACAGACTCAGCCGCTGGCTCCTCTCCAAACGACGTCTCCGCCTCCGCACTCGAGTCGTACAGCGGGTTGGAGAACACGCCGCCCGTCGGCTCGTGCAGCGGGTTGTCCGACGTCACCTGCCCAGAGCCCCACGTGTCGTTGTCGGTCGCACCGGCTGCCTCATCGCCCAGCAGATCGCCGGAGAAGCCCAGGTCCTGCTGCGGCTGCATCATCAGCGCAGCGCCGCCGTCGTCCTCCTCATCCGGGTCGGGCTTGTACAGCCAGTGCCGCTCCGCAGTGATGACCTTGGTCGTCGTCTGCGAGAAGCCCAGCTCGCTCATGCGGCCGTCCGAGCGGGCGCCCATCAGCGGCGCGTTGACCGTCTTCAGCTCCTCCGTCGTCTTGTAGAAGAAGCGGTTCCCAGTCTCGTTGTCCACCTCGCCGCCAGAGAACGAAAACGTCACCGGCGCATCTGCACCGCCGTGCACGCGAATCTCGTCGTCCAGGTCCAGGCCCTTGCGGTGCATGATGTCCCGCAGCTCCAGCTCCCGCTCCTTGCTCTGCCGGCGGTGGCGCACAAGCAGCGCAATGATCAGCAGCACCGCAATCACGGGCACCACCACAGACACCACCAGCGTGCTGTCTGTCGATGACGACCGCGACGGCGTCGCCCCGTTCGTGTTGTCCTCAAACGTGCCAGACCGCAGCACGGAGAAGCCCAGCACCTGCGTCAGCGCGTCGGACTTGCCAAACCGAGACGCAAGCGCCTTTGCATCGTATGGGCCATAGAGGTCCGACAGCGGCACCGCAGGCGGCACCACCATCGCCGCCAAGTCGCTGTTGTTCACACCCATGTACTCTGGCACAGTCGAAATCACGTGCACGCGCACAACCGTCTCTGTTGCGCGCCGTGCCCGCACCGGAACGCTGCTCACGCCGTCAAAGTTGAGGGTTACGTCGGCGTTTGTCAGCGTGTCGGTCTCCACAACAAGCACGCCCTCTGGGTCGAGGAAGATGCCCGCGTCCTTCAGGCCGAGGTGGCTCGCCAGCCGCGCCGCCACCAGGTCCAGGTTGGCCTGAATCTCAGCCAGCGACGCCTGGTCAAAGTCAATCGTCGCAAGCTGCAGCCGGTCGTACACCTCGACGTGCAGGTGGGCGTTGCTGGAAAGGCCGCCGCCATCCGTGGCCGTCAGCCGCACAACAGACTCCGGGGGGTGTGACCACGGGTTGGTTGCCGTCGTCACCCGGCCCGTCGTATCGTCCACGGCGAACAGCGCCGTCGCATTCTGGCTGAACGTCACCTCGGAGAACGTGCCCAGGTCCGGATCCGTCGCGTTGACAAACGGCAGCACCTCCACTGTCACGTTGAAGGGGAGAAGGCGCGAGTACAGCGACGTGTCCACAAACGCCGGCGCGTTGTCGTTGGTGTCCAGCAGCGCCAGCTCAACCGTGGCAAACCCGACGTTGTTCCACGCACTCGAGTTGCTCAGCTCCGCCACAGACATGGGCGTCGCCGCCACCGCCGCCGTCAGAGCCTCAAGGTCGGATGCGTAGTTGCTTGTGGCCACCACAAGCTCAACGCCGTACATGGCCTCCCGGTCAAGGCGAACCGCGCCACTGCTGCCCAGGAACATCAGCTCACCAGATGTCGCGTTCATCGAAAACCCGTCCAGCGGCAGCACGCCGCCCACGGCGCCAGACGAGGCAAGCAGGCCACGAGCAGACACAACCGCGTAGTACACGGGGTCCTCGCGCTCCGTGTCCGGGTCAGTCGCTGACAGCTGGCCCAGCAGCACATCCGTCTCTTGCTCCTCCATGACCTTGATCAGGTACTCGCTGCTGTCAAAGGCGGGCACGCCCAGGTTGAACTGCAGGTCCACGTACGCCACGCCGCTGGCAATCACGTCACCCGTGCAAGGGTTGGCCCACTGCGCCCGCACCAGCTCGCCCGAGCCGGCCGCAACCGCCGTCAGCGAGAACGGAGACGCGGGAACAAGCACGCTCTCGTTCGCAGATGACAGCGTCAGGCCCATCTCGCCGGTGATGGCCACGCGGTTGCCGTCGCCCAGAATGGCCTCCGTCACCACTAGCAGCGCGTCGCCCTCACGCGACACGGCCTCCTCCACCGTCAGCGCCGCCGTCAGGACGTTGCTGATGCCGGCCGACGCAGGCGTCACCGTCAGCGACATGCGCGAGAAGGGCAGCACCACAAGCGAGAACACGTCAATCTCCGCGCTGTTCACCGTCAGCGTGAGCGTGTTGGACACAGCGCTGCCTCCAACCGTCGGCAGCGCAAGCGTGGTCGTGCCCGGCTGAAGCGCCCGCAGCTTGGAGCCCTCCAGCGCAATCACGCTCGAATCGCCCAGCACCAGCGCGTCCGCAAGCAACTCCGTTACGTCCGCACCGAAGGTGTCCTGTGCCGTGCCGCGAGAGAAGCTCGCTTCAACCAGCAGCGTGCTCGGCTCAAACACGGCCGGGTCGCCCGGGCAGGCGGCGCCGGCAATGGCAAACAGGGTAGTCGTCGTCGCAGAGATGCTGGCGGGCCCCGTCGGGTGCCACACGTCCAGCAGCGCCTCCGCAGACAGGCTGTCGTATGAGACGTCGACCACCGCACCCTGCTCCCCAGCCGCCGCGTTGGGATCAGCGGAGGCAGAGCAACCCGTCAGCACCAGCGCAGGGCTGGTTGATGTGCACGACACACTCGTGCTCACATCCACCACCGATGTCACGCTGGGGTTGGACCGCACGGCATATGTCTCAATCGTCGCCGCCTGGCTGCTGCCTCCGAGGGCAGCCAGGTTCAGCAGCGACGCGCGGGACGAGCCTGCAAACAGGCCGACGGCGTGGTCGCTCGGCAGCAGGTGGATCACACCGGCCTCTTGCACGTGCGGACCGGAGCGGTCGACGCTCGAGCCAACACCGGCGGCGCGCACGCGCGAGCTGTCAATGCCAAGCAGCAGCGACACGGAGGCAGACACCTCCGTCGTCGACGCCTGCATGTTGGTGCGGACCAGTGCCGTGATGGTGAACAGCAGCTGCGTCGTCGTGCTTGCCGTGCCATCCGTTCCAATCACCTGCACCGCTTCCTCACAGGGAGCGCCTCCAGAGATGGTGCGCGAAGCACACACCGGGTTGATGCTCGGCGTGTCGGCGTTGAAGGCCTCGTTCATATCCACGCTCAAAATGCGCAGCTCGTTCCCGAGCGTCACAGACGCAGTGAACGCGCCAATGCCAGACTCAGACCGCGCATACACGCCAATCTCAAACTGCTCGTTCTCGTACAGCCCACGGGCTGGCAGCACAATCCACAAGTCCTCCGCCAGCACGTCCGTGTTGATGTTCACGTTGGACGGCACCAGCAACGCCGTCGTCTGCGCAGCCACAGCGCCGCCCGTGCCCTTGACACTGCCCGACGCTGTCACCTGCCGTGTCGACGTCGTCAGGAACCACGCTTCCGGCACGGTGATGGACAGCATACAGATGCCGTTGAATGGCGCAGCGCTGTTGGCCGTGCACGACGCCGTCTTGCTCAGCGTCAGTGATCCGGACGGCGTGAACCGCACCTCCACCGTCGCCGGCTGCGTGTGCACCCTGTTCTCGCTATCCAGCACCCGCGCGGCAATGCGCAGCGTACGGTGCCCGCCGTGCTCAAGCACGTCCTGGTACACGCGCTCGTCCACAACAAGCAGCTCGAGCTGCGCCGGCGCAGACGCCTCCACAGACACAGACTCCGTGCGCGTGAAGTTGCCCAGGCCAGCAACAACCTCAAAGCTGTCCCCAATGCTGGTGGAGTACAGCGGGCCCACGCCAAGCGCAAACTGCTGCAGACCGTCATCGGAAGACAGCAGCGTCTGGCCAGCCGCGTCAAACGGCGCGGCGCCCAGCGTCGAGAACGATGCCCGCTGTGTGTCTGCCAGAAGCACTTGCACCACCGTACGGGACGTCAGGCGCGTCGTGCCTGCGTCCTGCACAACAATCTCCACCTCAGACTGGCCCGCAGGCAGCGATGTCGCCGGTTGCGCCAGCACAAGCGCGCGCAAGTTCGTGTCGGTCGTCAAGCGCTGCAGCGTGAACAGGCTGGACACGGGGCCAAACGCAATCGAAAACGTCAGCTGCGCATTCACGCCAATGTCCGCATCCTCTGCGCCAATGTACACCACCGTTGCGCCAGCATCCGTGCCAGGATCAACGGCGCCTCGGTACGACGAGCGCGTAAACAGCGGGCGGTTGTCGTTGATGTCCTCAACCTCGATGGTCACCGTCACGGTGGAGCTGAGCGAGGGAGTGCCAGCGTCTGCAGCCACCACAACAATCTGGTACTCATCCTGTGTCTCGCGGTCCAGCACCCGCTGCGTGCGCAGCTCGCCCGTTGTCGGGTTCAGCGTAAAGTCGCTCTGCGTTGTCACAATCGCAAGCGTCTGCAGCTGCGCATTCACACCAGCATCCGCATCCGTCACGGTCAGCACGCCAACCAGGTCGCTGCCGGTGCCGTTCTCGGCAACAGAGAACGTGATGGAGGCGGCGCCAAACGATGGCGCGTTGTCGTTGATGTCTGTCAGCTGCACAGTCACCGCAACAGAGGCGCTCAGGGCCGCACCAGCATCAACAGGCTGATCCGTGACAGTCACGGTGAACGAGTACGAGGCAGATTGCTCGCGATCAAGCCCGCTTGGCAGCGACAGCTCGCCAGTCACGGCATCAACAGCGAGGCGCGTGTCGTTGCTCGAGTAGCGAAGCACCGCGTTCGGGCCGATGTCTCTGTCCGTTGCAGCCACAAAACCGAGGGATGCAACAACCGACTCCTCATCCGCGGTGAACACGTAGGATGCACTGTTGAAGACAGGGGCGTTGTCGTTCGCATCGAGCACGAAGATTGTCACGTTCACAATGCGGTCAAACGTGGAGGAGCTAACGCGCATGGCGAGGTCGTACCGGTCGCGCGTCTCACGATCCAATGGAGCAGCCAGCTGGAACTGGGCCGTGGTTGGGTCAACGGTGAACAAGGTGTTGCCAGACCCAAACAGGTCGTAGTTGAGCACTGGCACAGACGTTGCACCATCAAACACAGCACCGAAACCAACATTCAATGCAAAGTCCTCGGCAACAGAAAGCTCGATGCCCACGTCAAACAGATCACAGAGATCGCTGCGCATGGAGATGTCGAAGGTGGTGAAGGGGTTGTAGCCGGAGCCGCGGTAGAGGCCGGCACCAAGCGCGCCAACGCTCACATCAAGCAGGCCGCTAAACTTGTACGGCGGCACAGAGCTGCCGTCAAGGAAAAACTGCCGCGCAACATTCGTCACCCCGTTCACGTCCGTCGTCACAAGCACAAGCGACAGACCAAGGTCCGCAAGCACAAGCTCCGTGCGCACCCGCACCTCAAACACCCCGTCGCTGCCGTCCACAAGCTCCGCGCGCCAGTACCCGCCCAGGTACGACGCGCGCACACCAGACTCAACCGTAAACGGCGCAGCCTCGCCGCGCTCAAACTCAGACGACAAAAACAGCCCCTGCGACGCTACATTCTCGTGCGCAATGTCAAAGTACAGCAGCGTCTGCGCAGCATCAGCGGCAACGTCACCCTTCGCCCGCAGCCGCGCCCGGATCGTCAGCGAGCAGTTCGCCTCCGCATCCGTCACATCAAGCACCTCAACGTCGCTCACAAACCGCAGCTGCCGGAAGTTCACCTTGGCCAGGTACGACGAGTCGCGCCCGTCAATCACCCCGTTCAGGTCAGCGTCCATCTGCGCCTCCTGCGTCCCGTCAGCAAGCAGCGCAGCCTCAAACGCCATACCCTCGGCGTTGCTGAAGCCGGTCGCAGCATACACAATGTACTGGATCGTGAACCGCACATCGCGCACATCGAAGATGCAGTTGCCATCGGCGTCACCCGTCTCGCGCGCACGTCCAGTCAGCGACAAGCACTGGCTGTCGTCGCACGGCGGGCTGTCGCACGTTGCGCGGCGCACACGGCGCTCGCCCGCCATCCACGACGTCGCCGACAATCCACTCTCAGCTCCACCCAGCTTCCTGCTGCTGCTACTGCTGCGACGGCGGCGTGCACCACCAGACACAAGGAAGTCAAACGTGCCCGCAACAAACGAGCGGCCCTCGCTGCCAATCAGCACGCCATCCAAGTCGGCCATCGTCGTCACGCGCCCGCTCAGCATCAGCGCCTCTCCGCCACTCACAGTGTTCAGCACGCGGAACCGGATCACAGCAATCGTGTTCAGCCCAGAGATCCCGTTGCCCTCAAGCGCACCGCCAAACAGCACCTCGCCAGGCGGATCGTCCAGCGTCGGCACAAGCTGCGAGCTCGATGGCCAGTCAGACCCAGCCACCACAGACACAGCCTGCAGCTTGGTCGCATCATACAGCACCGTCAGGTCAATCGACCCAAGCTGCGTCGTCCCCGTGTTCACGCGCACGTCAACGTCAAACTCAGCCCCAGCGCTCACCGCGCTCACCGCGGGCCCGCTCGTCGCGCCAAGGTCGACATCCTCAGCGGCCGGCGCGAGGTTGCAGAAGAACGTCGCCGACCCGCTCACGCCAACATCCGGCTGCGCAGTGGCAACAATCGTCACCGCCTCCGGGTCGTTCTGCAGCACCGTCACGCGGCCCGTGCTGCTGTCAACGCTCGCCGCGTCCGTGTTGTCCACGCTGAAGCTCAGCAGGTTCGGCACAGCAACAACACCGCCGCTCACAACGTTCGGGTACTCCGTGCCGTCGTCAAACCGCACGCCCACGCTCACGTCAGATGTCCCAACGCCGGCAACCCCGCTCAGCGTGCTCACAAAGTTCACACGCCCGCTCACGCGCGCGCTGTTCAGCACAGCGCTCACAAACACGGGCGTTGTCCCAAGCGAAAGCCCCAGGTTGCTCGTGCTCGACGCACCCGCAAACGTGGCGCCCACAACCGCGCTGCCCGTCGTCGCAGATCCTGCACGCGACGCAATGCGCCCGCTCACAGAGATCACGCTGCCGCCAGACAGCACGCTGAACATGGTCAGCCCAGAGGACGACACGTCGCGCGTCGACCCGTCGGTCAGCGTCAGCACAAGGTTGAGCCGCGCCTGCTGGTACTCGCCCGTGAGCCCAATCGGCCGCAGCTCCGTCACCGCCCGCGACGTCGAGCCCGCGTAGGTCGGGAACGGCGACGCACTCACAGTCACATCCTGCACCTGCACAACCGTCACATCCACAGACGCGGTGATGTTGGCGTGTGTAAACGAGACTGAGATAGTGGCCGTTCCGCTCTGTCCAGCGACAGGCACGACTTGCCGCGACCCGTCCGTGTTCACTTCAAGCGTCACCAAACCTGCAGGCGTGATGTCATACACCGTTCGGGAGTCGTTGGTGCGGTCTTGTGCGTCCTGGCCATAGATGAGGTCGACCTCAAGCCGAGTGGACGTTGCGACACCAGCGCTTGCGGCGACGCTGCCAGCGTCGGTCAGCGTGGTTGTGCCCACAGTGATATCTGCGGCGTCTGGAGCAGGAATGGTCACGGTGACAGCGGCAGTGGCCGAGGCAATGACCGTTTCGTTGTTGCACGTTGTTAGCCACCGCACAGAAACGAGGTCGCCGCTGCCACTGCCAAACGCGACAACGTTGGCGCCTTGCACGCGCACAGAGCCGGTGTTGAGGGACTCCGTCCTGAGCAGAACATCTGCATCGTCAAAGCGCAGCGGCATGACTGCAAAGTCAGTGAACTCCGCTGCTGCGTAGATGACACCACTGTCGCCTTCCAGCGCAAACTCCTGCTGCAGGGAAGCCGTCGCAAGCAAGTTTGCGCCGACACTAATTGTGCCTGGTGCCGACAATTCGAGGGACGTCACCACGTTTGGCATCAGCCGCGAGACGGTGACTGGGTCCGACGAAACCGTTACAGGCGTTGAGCCCACAACCTGCGCATCGGGTCGAACAATTTCAAGCAGGGCCTGCCCTGGAGCAGCACCTTCAACCATACCATCAGCAACAGTCATCACAGTGGCGTTGCTGGACGAAAACAGGGCCGACACCAGCGAATCCACACGCACTTCCACGTCGCTCTGCGCATCATATGCAAATGCAGCTGTGGCAGTGATGAAAGAGCGCTGGTATCGTTGGGCGCAGGCGTTGTTGGGGTCGAGCCAGTCCTGCACAGCGTTCAGCTCCGCATCCTCAACCGTCACAGTCACAGGCAACCGCGGTGCCCACACGCGCACAGAAAACACAAAGCTCAGCGCGCCGCCGCCGTACTCAACTGTCACATCAACCTGTGGCGATCGCCCGCCCACAGCACTCGTCAAGTCAACAGAGCTGCACCCTGCACCAAGCACAACAGCTTCCGTATCAGACACGCTGCACCCGCTCAGAGAGCCAGTCGACAGCGTCCCAACACTGCCAGACCGGTACAGCCCGCGCACAGAGATGCTGCGGCTCACAGTGTCGCCCGTCAGCACAGCCGTGTTCACAAGCTCAGACTCTGCAACGTGCGCAAACAGCCCCACAACCGCATCCTCAGCAACATAAATGCCGCCAAAGCTTGCCGGCGCCGAGCTCACGCGCGTCAGCCGGTCCTCAAACTCCATCGCCCCGTTGCCCGTCGGGAACAGGTCCTCCCCGCGCACGTTCGTCAGCTCCTCCACAACGCCGTCAATGCGCTGCACGGCATCCAGCGTCGCCGTGCTCAGCACATCAAACTCAATGCGCACGAGGTCCTCTGCGCTCACAGGCTGCGACGACGCCGTCGACGCATCCTGCAGCTGCCCAAACACCGTCCAGTCCTGGTCCGTCGTCGCCGTCGTCTGCAGCGAGAACTTGTCCGTGTTCACCGCCGTCACGCTGCGGATCCGCAAGCCAGACCCCGTCGTCACCTGCATCAGGAACGTGTCTGTCTGGAACCCGGCGTGGCCAGACACTGTGGCCGTCACCCGGTCCCCACGGAACGCCGTCCCAGACGGGATGCTCATGCGCAGCCCCTGCGACACGTCGCTAAACTCACGCTGCCGACGCACGCGCACAGTGCCCAGCGACGTGTGCTCGGCTGTCGATTCCCCATTCAAGTACACAAACACCTCCACGCTCGGGTCCTCGGTCAGCGCAAGCAGCGACGAGTCCGTGAACCACGCCAGCGGCAGGTTGTCTGCCGTCACCGTGCACATACCCGTGCTTGTGCTCGAGCTCACCGTGCAGCTTCCCGTCACCTCCGTGTTGCTGATGCCTGCCAGCGTTGCGTCGGGCACAACCCGCACGCGCACCGTGGCCCCGCTCACCCGCACGTTGAAGGTGCTGTCGCGGACCTGTGCTGCCACTCGGATGCGCCGGCTGCTCGCCCACACCTCCGTGTCCTGCACAGCACCCACGCGCGTCACAGCCGCTTGTCGAGGGCGCGAGTATGTCACGGAACTGGTCAGCTGCTCACCAAACGCCACTGAGAGATCTCCTTCACGGGTTGTGTCCATCGGTACAAATGCAGTGAGCGAGTGCTCAAAGACACCACGGATCGGTGATGTGTCCACGATCTCGGTTTCAATTTCTGCGAAGCCCATTCCCGTCACCGCAACGTCTGGCTTAAGACCCATCGTCGAGACGGTGGAGAGCGTGATGACCGTAAACCCGGTCCTGGGCGGGGTGCCATGGTCGGTGCCCTGCACCAGGATGGAAAAGAGCGATCCCCGGCCCTCAAGCACCACGGACGTGCGGATGACGCCTGTGTCTGGGTCGATATCAAAGATCTGCGCAACAACCTCATCCACAATCGAAAACGTGACGCGCGCGTTCTCACCAGAGTCTGCATCATTGGCCGTGACGTTCGCCACAATGGAGCCAACTGGGAGCAGCGAGGAGATGTGCGGCTCAAAGTCTGCCACAAGAGCAGGCGCGTTGTCGTTGACATCGAGCACCTGCAACTGCATGGCAAACCTTGCAGACCGAGGCGGCGTTCCGTGGTCCGACGCCACCACGTCAAACGTAATCAACGCTGGGCCAGCATCATGGTCCAGTGGCTCCGCAACACGAACAACGCCTGTGGTCGCGTTCACGGAGAACTTGTTGGCCACGGACGGATCGCTGAAGTTAGCCAGGGAGAAGGTGATGCGAGCGTTGTCGCCAATGTCGCCGTCGGTAGCGCTGACGGTTGTCAGCACCGCAACCTGCCGCTCGACAAGAGAGAACTCGTGGTCTGTGTTCTGAAACACGGGCGTGTGGTCGTTGGCATCCACCACTGCGATGTTCACTGTAAGGTCAGTGGAGAGCGGCGACGCAGAGCGACCAAGCGTCGTGTTGTATCGTGGCGTGTAGAGGGGGCTACTGTCGCTGGCTCGAAGCGTGATCGTGTACGAATCCACGTCTTCGCGATCCAGAGGCCGCGTTGTGTTGAGAGCACCAGTCACGGGGTCAATCGTAAAGATGCTTTCGCTGTTACCCGCGACAATCTCAAAGAGAATGGCCGCGTTGAAATCAACATCGGCGTCTGTGACCGGAATGAACGACACCAACGCGCCAGCTGGCAGATTCTCCGTAATGTTCAGCGGCTGGGGCAAATGCTCAAACACAGGGGCGTGCGTGTTCACATCATACACCGTGACTATCACAGAGGCGAACGAGTGCAGCGGAGACGCAGCCAGGTCCTGCCCGCGCACGGAGATGTTGAGCACAGCCCACTCGCCCTGCAGAGGCACGAACGGCTGAGCCAGAACAATTGTGCCGTTCTGCGAAATGTTGAAACGGTTGTCCGGGTTGTTGGCAAGCGTCAGCTCCACAGTCCCGCGAACGCCCGAGTCCGCATCTGACACGTTCACCACCGCCACAACCGAGCCCACAGCAAGCGTATCAGGAAGCAGTGCCTCATACCCATCGGGGGTAAACTGAGGCGCATTGTCGTTGTCGTCCATGACGGAAATCATCACAGATGCAGTCGAGGACAGCGGCACAGGTATTCCCAAGTCGGTCGCAGTCACAGTCAGTGCGTACGACATCGTGGTCTCATAGTCGAGTGGCTGCTGAATGCTGATGGTTCCCAGCATTGCGTCAATGGAAAACCGCCCTTCCTCGTTACCGCCAGTGATGGAGTATCTCACTTCACCACCAACGCCGGTGTCCGCATCAGAGGCAATCAGCTGCGTGAGCACCTGTCCAACAGGCGTCAGCTCAGGCACGGAAATCACGACAGTGTCGCGCACGAACACAGGTGCATTGTCGTTGGCGTCCGAGATGCTCAGCGTCAGCGTGAAGGTGATTTCCTGCTCGCTCACGCCGTCCACAGGAACAACGTTGCGCGCCGAAACGGTGATGAGGTAGTTGTTGACCACTGTGCGATCAAAAGTCATGGCGTTCAGCAGCTCGCCAGAAGTGGTGTTCAACGCAAGGGCATCGGGAGCGGCAACAGGCACAGAACCACCCACGGGCGTAGCAAACACAGACAAGAGGCGGAAGGTGACCTCCGAGTACACATCCGTGTCAGCGTCGTCAGTCTCAAACGTGTACACAACAGAGCCCATCGGCGCATTCTCAGGAACTTCCGCGCTTGCTGCGCTCACGAAGAACGGCAGGTTGTCGTTCTCGTCTGTGATCGTAATCACCACAAACGCCGTCGCGTTGAACGTGCCATCCGTGACAGTTGCTGTCAAATTGTATGAAGGCACCGACTCCCGGTCTGTGGGAAGGGAGGACGTTGTCACAACCCCCGTTGATGGATCAACAGAAAAGTGTTCGGACCCATTGCCAGACAAGGCGTAGGTGAACGAGGTGCTGTCAATGTCATCGACGGACAGCTGAACAATAAAAGCACCAGCTGCCGAGTTCTCCGCGACTGATCCGGTGAAGACTGGCATGGCAAAGAAGACTGGGATGTCGTTCACGTTGACGACGACAATGTCGACAACGGACGTCGCGCTGCGCTGCGTGCTCACGCCCTGATCGCTCGCCTCAACCACGAGCCGGTACGACGTGTTCCGCTCATAGTCAAGCGCGCCCTCAAGCACAATCTCGCCGCTCGTGGCGTTGATTGAAAACAGGCCGCTCGAGTTGTCAGACACAAGCCGGTACTCGAGCGTCCCGCTCGCAGCAGCAACCGCAATCCCGCCGTACTCAGACCCAGGCACATACCCGAGATCCTGGTCCGTCGCGTTCACGTCAACAACAACCATCCCAACCTCCGCCGTCTCAGACACAGGCACCGTCAGTGACGCAGGCGCAAACACGGGCGAGAAGAAGTTGAAGCACGTGCCCGTTCCGCGCGTGTTGTCAAACTTCATGTTCGGGCTGTACCCGCCCGACAGCGAGATGGTCACGTCGTCAAACGCCAGCGACAGCGCGCTCCCGTAGTCGTACGGCGGTAGCGGGCTGCCAAACACAGCCAGCGTGCGCGCAGGCAGCGTGTTCAGCTCCCCATCAAGCGTCTTCTGGATCGGGCTCAGCCCAATGCCGCTCAGCTCAATCGGCGTGTACAGCGACACCTGGTACAGCCCGCCCCCGATGCTCGCAGCCTTCACAATGCCGCCAAAGTGCCCGCTGCCCTTGTTCGTCACAACAACCTCGCCCACAGCGGCCGTGCTCGCGTCAAACGCGGCCTGGAACGCGCTTCCGCCCTGCGCAGACGTCGCAGCAAAGTCAAAGTAAACCTCCGTCTGCCCGTTCGTGTCAGCCGTGTCACCGGCCTTGAGCACCTCCGCAATCACTGTCAGCTGGCACCCGTCCGTGTCCTCAGCAACAGTCGTCACGCTCACGTTGCGCACAAACCGCAGCTGCCGGAAGTTGATGCGCGCAAGCACAGACGTGTCCGTCGGGTCGATCACCCCGTTCAGGTCAACGTCCATCGCATCCAGCTGGAAGTCCTGCAGCGCCGCCTTGATGTTCCCACCGCGCACAGTCGAGAACCCGAAGATCTCCTCAGTCAGATACACCTGCAGGAACGCAATGTCGTCCAGGTCAAAGATGCAGTCGCCGTTGGTGTCACCGCTCTGTCGCCGCCCGCCGCACTGTGCCTCCGTGCACGGCGCCGTCGCGCTGCACTTGGTCGTCACTACGTCCGACGCCCGCCGCACGCGCGCGCTCTCGCTCGCATCGTACCCGGCCAGCCCACCGCTGCTGCTGCGGCGGCGACGCGCCGTGTCCGTTCGCAGATCGCCAGAAATGAACGCGCGCGGCGACGTCCCAGACGCAGCCGGGCTGCCAATGTCGGTCACCGATCCGTCGTTGGCCAGCGTCGTGCCCATCTTCTTCGTCACACCGTACAGCTCAATCACGCCCGTCCCGACAACCTGGAACTGGATCGTCGCCAGGTGGTACGACGTCGACGCAATCCCGTCCTCGGTCACGCCGCCCAGCAGAATCGTCCCGACAGGGTCGTTCAGCGTCTTCACAAACGTGCCACCGGGCCACGTCGCCCCAGGCACAACGTCCACCGGCTCAACAATCGATGCGTCGTAGTACACCTCAAGGTCAACGCCACCCAGCACCAGCGATCCCGTGTTCACATACACGTTCACATTGCGTGTGCCGCTGCCCGTCGCAGGCGCAACAGGAACACCAGTCTTGGAGCCAAGGTCAACGTCGCCAATGGCAGGCGCAAGGTTGCACGCAAACGCCGTGCTCCCGCTCACCCCGCCCGCATCCACCGCCGTCGCCGTCACGGTCACCGTCTCGTGGTGGTTCGCAAGCAGCGTCACCTCGCCAGTCGTGCTGTCCACAGACGCCACCGCGGTGTTGTCCAGGCTGAACGTCACCAGGTTGTCAAACTGCCGGTTGCCCGAGCTGTCAAACACAGACTCGTACCGCGTCCCGTCGTCAAACTCAACCCCGAGGCGCACAAACGCGCTGCTCGTGCCGCTCTGGCCGCTCAGCGTGCCAACAAACGACACCCGTCCAGTCTGCCGGTTCTCGTTCAGGATGGCGCTCACAAGCACAGGCGTCGACGTCAGCGTCACCGTCACCGTGTTGTCTGCCTCAAGCCCGGCGTGCACAGCAGAGATGACAACGCTGCCGCTCGTGCTCGCGCCGTCCCGCGCAACACGCCGCCCGCTCAGCGCCAGCCCCACGCCGCCCACAATGCTGTAGCTCGTCGATCCAGATGGGCTCACGTCGCGCGTCACGCCGTCTGTGCCCACGAGCTTCAGCTCCAGCTCAGCCTCCTGGTACTCGCCCGTTCCGGAGAGCGCGTTCAGCTCGTCAGCAATGTCGCTCGCCGACCCAGCATACGAGGGATACGGCCGCGGCACAAGCGTCGCCGTCGACACACCCACAACCTGCACGCTCACCGTCGCCGTCACGCCAACGTGCGTGAACGACACGCCGAGCACGCCCGTGCCCGTCAGCCCAGCCGTGTTCGCAACCACAAGCGGCACAGGGCCACTGCGGTCAATCGTGAACAAGCCGTTGCTCTGGCTCAGGTCATACACCGTGCGGTTGTCGTTGCTGCGGTCAAGCCGCGTGCTGCCGTATACGAGCTCCACAGTCACCGCCGTCGACGTCGGGAACACGTTCGTGTCCGCAAACGGGCTCGGCAGCCCAGGCGCGCTCGGGTACGTCACCTTCGCGTTCGCCACAGTCATGCTCACAGAGTCGGGGTCCACCAGCGACACGTTCACAAAAGCCGTGCCCTGCGCAAGCACCCCAAATCCGCAGCCCGTCGACGGCTCCCACTGCAGCCGCACCAGGTCGCCCGCGCCGTTGCCAAACGCAGCAACCTTGTTGGTGTCCGTCACAACAACCGTCGACCGCGCCTTGCTCGTCAGCGAGAGCCCCATCGCCGGCGTCACCTCAAGGCTCGCGCCATCAGAGAACGTCACAGCCGCAAACACGTCCGCTTCCTCCTCTTCAACATCAAGCTCCTGCAGCAGCGTCAGCCGCGCCGTCTGCTCGCTGTCCGTCGAAAACGATGTGCTGGACAGCGTCAGCTCCGCGCTCGTCAGCGCAAGCCCGCGCACGTAGCTCGCGTTCACAAACCCGCCGCCAACAGCCACTTCCACAAAGCCAGCAAGCCGCCCGCCCGCGTTCAGCGTCACGTTGGCAACGCCGGCTCCCACGCCGCGCACCATCAGCCCGTCCACGCTCGCAACGCCGCCGTCGCTCACGCTCAGGTGCCCGTCCACAACGTCGTTCACCACAACCTGCTTCGCAGGCCCGCTCGGCGAGTACCGATATGTCGCAACAGCCTTCACCCGCCCGCGCTGGTACTCCTGCGCACACGTGCCGCTCGTCATCCAGCCGTACACAGGCGACAGCTGTGCGTCGTTCAGGCCCAGCGAAATCGGAAGCTCCGGCGCCCACACGCGCGCCCGCACAACCGCCTGCTCCCCGCTGCTGACGTGCTGCACAGTCACAGCCACAAGCCCGCTGCCCTGCGTCGTCGTCGCTGCGCGAAGCTCCAGCCGGTTGCAGCTGCTCCCCACAGCAACCACAGACGTGTCGTCGCTGCTGCAGCTCAGCCCGCTCGAAAGCGTCGACAGCGCGCCCTGCCGGTTCAGCTGCTTCGTCGTCAGCGTCACCGTCTGCGTCGACCCGTCCAGCACAGCCGTGTTCACAAGCTCTGCCTGCGCCAGGTAGCTGAACACAGCCGTCACAGGGTTCGAGGCAACATACACCGTGCCCGTGCCCTCGTGCTCACCAAGCCGGTCAACCACGCGCCCAGGCACAGGGCTCAGCACAATCGGCTCGTTCAGGTTGCGCAGGAACTTGATCTGCACCGTCAGGCTGTGCGTCGTGTCCAGCGCCGCGCTCGATCGCGCGCGCATCGCAACACGAACCAGCTCCTGCGCGGCAACCTCAACTGTCGGCAGCCCGGCCTCGTTGTCGTGGTTCGCAGACAACCCAGCGGACAGCCCGCCGTCCGTCACAAGCGGCGCCGCCCGCCACGTCCCAGAGTCAAAGTTGATGCTCAGAATCTCAAGGTCGCTGCTCACGTCAAACTGCAGCGTAAACGCCGTCACAGGCAGCGTCGCGTCACCATACACAACGGCCTCAAACGTCTCCCCAACAAACACAGGCCGCAGCGGCATCTGCACCTGCACATCGTTGTTCGTCGGGCTGCTGCTCGCAGTGATGCCAAACGTCGGCTGGTACCGCAGCGTCACATCCCCGGCAGACGTCAGCCCCGTCCGCTCATCGCTGAACCCGTACTGCACCTGCACAACCTGGTCCCCAGACACAACTGTGTCAGAGAACCACGACGCCGGCACCGTCACAGACGCCGTGCACATCCCCGTCGCCGTGCCCACCTTGCACGACCCGACCAGGTTCGACGCGCCAGCCGCAGACGCAAGCTCGCTCGTCGGAACAACGACAATCTTCACATACGTGTTCAACTCAACACGGCTGCTCCACAGCTCGTCCCACACCTGCAGCACCGCCTTCACAGTCCGGTCGCCGTCCGCGTACAGCTCGGTGAACGCCAGCGTCGCCGACACCTGCGTTGCACTGCGCCGCTGCGTCGAGTACGACACGCTGTTCGACGTCAGCGCGCTCCCCAGGTACGCACGTACACTGCCGCTGCTCCCAACAGCAGCGTTGTTGAACAGGGTGAGCTTCTCATCAAACTCGAGCGTTCCGACGAGAGCTGTGGAGCCCATGGGATAGCCGACCGCAGTTGTTGAGAACGAAATTGGCATGGGATCTGTGACGAAGATTGTGAGCATGACGGAGCTTGACTTGGCATTGAGCAAGCTTCCTTCGTCCTGCACCCACACGGCAAGCTCATACAGGGTTTGGGTTTCCCGCGAGAGCTGGCCGTTCACCCGCAGCTCGCCCGTGGTTTCGTCCAGGCTGAAGGCGCCATCTGGCGTTGTCGATGCGCCGCCCTGGAAGTAGAAGCGGAAGCCCTGGTTGCAGCTGTCTTGATCTGTTGCATTGAACCGCACCACCACTGTGCCAACGACAGAGTCCTCGGGAACAAACTGAAAGTAGCTGTCCTGCGAGAACTGTGGGGTGTAGACGTTATCGTCCAGGATGGTCACGAGCACCGACGCATCTGCGCTTCGGCGGTAGCCGTTGAAGTACCTGCACCCCTGACGACAGATGCTGCTTGTGCACAAGGTCTCGCACTGGGCGAGCGTCGATGAGGTGTTGCCGTGCACGCAGCCTTGCTTGCACCCGTCAAACGACTCGCCCGTGCTGAGAAACAGCAGGTGGCAGCGGTCGCTGCACTCGCTGACGGTGCCGTTCGGGTTATCCGTGACACGCACCCCAAACGTGACTGTGTCAACGTTGTCGGTACAGAACTGCCCGTTTGTTGTGACAACGCCAGTGTCTGGGTCGATGTTGAAGCGGTCCGAGTCTGGGCCGTCGAGGACGGAGAAGGTGAGGCGTGCGTTCTCGCCGGCATCCAGGTCAAACGCGCTGCCCACAAGCACGTTGTCTGTGACTGGGTCGCGGGTTTCCGTGAACCCAAACCCGTATGCGGTCGACTTTGTAAACTGGGGGGTTTCGTCGTTCATGTCGCCAACCTGCACGAGGACGCGGGTGGTGGAGGAGAGCTGGGGGTGGCCGCTGTCCGAAGCACGCACGTACACGTTGTACTGGGGAACGGTGAGGGTCTCGCGGTCCAGCACATCTGCAGTGAGGAGAAGGCCCTGTGTTGGTTCGATCAGGAAAGGGCTGCTTCCAACAATGGAGTAGGTGACGGTGTGCTGGGCCGGGTTGCCACGATCCTGGTCCGTTGCGTTGACTTGAACAAAGGCAATGTTGAGCAGGTCGTTCTCGTACACCTGTGCGGTGTAGAGGTCCTTCTCAAACACCGGCGGGAACTCGTTCACGCCAAACACAGTCACAATGACGTGGGCCACAGAGGACAGTGGCGGAGAGCCGTTGTCCTCCGCGACAAGCGTGACGTTGAAGGACGAGTACTGTTCACGGTCAATTGTGCGCTGGAGCTCAAAGCGCAGGTCCGTGGTGAGCTTGAACTTGCGGGGGCTCACGTCGCCACCTGCAATGACAACGCTCACGTCGGAGTTGTTGCCGCTGTCGGCATCGGTCACCTCAATCTGGGCAAGCAGCGAGTTTGCTGTCTTGTTCTCAAAGATGTCCACGTAGTACGTGTCCTGGGAGAAAATGGGGCGGTTGTCGTTGATGTCGTTGATGTTGATGGTGGTCGTGGCCATCTGCATCCTGGACGGCGTGCCGTGGTCCCGTGCAACAATGACCAGCGTGAGCTCATGGAGCTGCTCGTAGTCAAACCCGGTGGCGTTGGCGATGTACAGCTCGCCCGTCGCGTTGTTGATGTCCAACAGAACGTGTCCGCCTGGCCCGCTGTTGCCACTCTGAATGCTGTAGGTGACGAGCGAGTTTGGCGTGTTTGGCTCATCAGCGTCTGTGGTATTGTACGTGGCAACGACGGTGCCCTCCGGCGTGTGCTCATCGACGCTGAGCTCAGCGAAGGGGGCCACAAAGGTGGGTGTGTTGTCGTTGACGTCGACCAAGTTCACGGTGACTTGCGTGAAGTTGGAGAGGCCGCCGCCGTCGGTCACGTTGACGTCCAGCGTGAACGAGCGGACAACCTCAAAGTCAAGGGCTGTTTGGTCCATGGTGGTGAGGATGCCCGTGGTTGCGTCGAGATGGAACGGGGTGCCCAGGTCAGACGTGAGCGGATCGATCAGGGTGAAGGTGAGGCGGCCAAAGCTGCCAGAGTCTGCGTCCGTGGCGTTGATCTGGGCGATGATGGTGCCACCCAGCGTGTTTTCGCGAATGGTGCGCGTGACGGGCGGGTGCAGCAGCTGTGGGTAGTTGTCGTTTTCATCCAGCACAATGACGTCGACGCGGGCTGTGGAGTTCATGGGTGGCACACCGTGATCGATTGCCATGACGGTGATGTTGTAGCTGGTGGTGCGCTCATAATCCAGCGGCAGACTGCTAACAAGGGACATGCCTTCAATGACAAAGCCGCCAGCCTCGTTGCCACCAACAATGCTCAGTGTGTAGTTTCCGTTGTCACCGGAGTCTGCGTCGGAGACGTTGAAGGTGACAATCGACGTGTGCGGCGCCATGTACTCAGACACGCGACGAATGTGCAGTGGCTGCGCAAACAACGGCGCGTTGTCATTTTCGTCTGTGATCCACACGTACACGGGATGGGTGATGTTGAAGCCGCCGTCAGACACCTGCACGGTGTACGTGTACTCCTGAACGAGCTCGTAGTCGATACTGGTGGCGAGAGTGATGACACCTGTGCTCGGGTTGATGGAGAAGGGCATGCTCGATTCCAGGATGGAGTATGTCAGCGTTGCGAACATTGGGTGAATGTCGGGGTCCGTGGCTGAAATGTTGAGGATGGTGGAGGAAACCGGAGTGGCCTCCGAAATGGTGGCATTGAACAGGACGAAGGGATCAAAGGCCGGCGTCTCGTTGATGTCCGTGATGTTGACGAGCACGGTGGTGGTGACGTTGAAGGCGCCAGGGTTGACACCGTTGTCAGACACAACAACCTCAAGCGTGTACGATGTCACGCTCTCATAGTCAAGCTCAGCCTTCATCACAACAACGTGGCCAGTCCCGTTGATGGAAAACAAGCCGTTCACATTCGTCGCAGGTGTGATCGTGTACGTCAGCACGTTGCTCGGCGCTGTCACATCTGCATCGCTCGCAAACACGCGGGCCGCAACATGACCGGCACCAGCAGACTCAAGCACCTCATACACATCAACGTTGTTGATCACAGGCGTCTCGTCGTTCAGATCCTGGATGTGCACCGTAACAACAAGGTCTGCGCCCTCAGACGACAGGCTGGGGCTTCCGCCGTCGGTCGCCCGAATCACAATCGTCTCCGTCGCGCTGTACTGCTCAGCATCCAGTGCCACCAGCGACACCAGGTTGCCGTTGCCGTCGAGCCCAAACGCGCTCGGGGCGGTGGTGTTGTGGATGCTCAGTGACACCACGGCGTTGTCGCCGCTGTCTGCGTCAGACACGTTCACCGGCACGCTGAAGCTGCCGCCATCAAGCACCGTCGTCTCGTACGCCGTCTCCGCAAACACAGGCGGGTTGTCATTGATATCTGTGATTGTGACTGTGACGACGGCACTGTCCTGCTCGAAAAAGTCGCGAAGCGGGAAGACGATGACGCTGACCTCGTAGTAGTGTGTGCCTGGATAGGGGAAGTTTGTGGCCTCGTAGTCCAGCGGGGCGTTGATGGAGAACACGCCCGTGATGGCGTTAACGGCAAAGGCCTTTTCGCTTGCCGGGCCCGGGTTACCACCGGTGATGGAGAAGATGTTGTCGACAGAACCCTGCTCAATGTCAGCGTCGGTGATGGTGAAGGTGACGATGGCAGTGCCGACGGTGGCGTTCTCCGGGACGGTCATGGCCCAGCGCGGCTGCGTGAAGAAGGGCGGCAAGTCGTCGACGTTTGTGATGTTCACGTAGACGGCCACCTCGCTGCTGCGCGGGATGTCTGGGTGGTTGTCGGTGGCGTTGACGACAAACACGTGCACGGTGGTGGTTTCGGCGTCAAAGGACTGCCGGGTGGTGATGGCGCCCGTGGCAGCGTTGATGGCAAAGGGGACGCTGAGGGGATCACGGATGCGGTAGGTGACCAGGGCCCCCTCGTCCATGTCGATGGCCAGGACAGTGCCGACGGCCGTCCCGGAAGCGGCGTTCTCCTCCACCTGGAAGATGTACGGCGAAGCGGTGAAGGTGGGCGCGTCCTTGTTGGGGACGCCCTTCAGGACGGAGATGGTGAGGTTGGCCGTGCCCATGAGCGGCGGCGTGCCTTCGTCGTACGCAAGCAGCTCCACGTGATGCTGCGGCACAAGGGTGCTGTTGAGGGTGCCGTTGAGGACAACAAGGCCCGTGTCGTCGATGGTGAAGAGGGACTCGCTGGTGGCGCCGTCGAGCGGCCGCAGCGCATAGTGGACCACGGCGTTGCTGCCCAGATCGGCGTCGGTGGCCGACACCTGGATGATCTCGTAGCCGGGCTGCTTGAGCTCGCTCAGCTCCGCCTCGTACGCCTTGCTTGCAAACTTGGGGCGGTTGTCGTTGACGTCGCGCAGCGTCAGCACAAGGGTGATCTGCGTGCTGAGTGGCGGGGTGCCCGTGTCCGAGGCGACAAACGTGACGGAGACGGTGGACTGGCTCTCGCGGTCCAGCACACCCACAACGTGCACGCGGCCCGTCTGGTCGACGTCGAGCGGCGCGCCCGCCGTCTGCGTGGAGAAGACGATGTTGGAGTTCTGGGCGGACACGTCCGCGTCCGTGACGTTCCACTTGAAGATGGTGGTGTCGTACGCCAGGTCCTCCGGCACCTCGATGCTGCGTGTTGTGGGCCCGTCGTAGGTTGGCCGCTCGTCGTTGGCGTCTGTGACGTGCACGGTCACCGTGGTGTTGGTGGTGAAGGGCCCGTCAAACGCCTGCAGCACAAACGTGTACGAGGTTGGCGGCGTCTCTGCGTCGAGCGCGGCCTTGAGCGACACGGTGCCGTCGTTGGCCACCTGGAACACGTCCTCCGAGTGGTTGACAATGGCAAAGCTGGTGACGGGCACGGTGTCGATGTCCGTGGGCGCAAGCTGGAACAGCGTCTGGCCAACCGTGGCTGCCTCGGAGACGTTGAAGGAGTACGAGTCCTGGTCGAACACGGGCGGGTTGTCGTTGACGTCCAGCAGGGTGATGACGACGGTGGCATTGGACCTGAGCGAGTTGTCCTGCCGATCGACCGCCTCCAGCATGATGGTGTAGGTGGTGGGCGGCGTGTCGTAGTCGAGCGTGGCCGTCTGGCTCAGGATGAGCTCCGTGTCGCTCTTCAGCTCAAAGAGGCCCTCCTCGTTTCCGCCAATGATGAACGTGTCGTAGTCGCGGTACACGGGCCCGTCGGCGTCGCTGATGGAGACGTTAACGATGGACGTGCCCGGGGGTGCGTCTTCCCGCACCTGCGCCGGGTAGGATGCCTGCGAAAACAGGGGCCCGTTGTCGTTGATGTCGGTGATGGCCACGACAGTCTGACAGGCGATAAACGAGGTTGTTGAGCCAATGTACATGTAGAACACGGGCTCGCGGTCTGGCGAGGGCCGGAGCTGCTCGGCGTCCAGCTTGAGTCGCGTGTAGACCTTACCCGAGTTTGGATCGGGTATCTCCAGGATGCCACCCGCATTGTCGTGCGAGACAATTTCATAGTCGTTGTTGGTGAATCCAGATACAAAGAAGTACAGGCTGGAGCCAAAGGCTTCATACACCAGCGCCCCTGGCTCTTGCTCCTCCTCCACATTGACCAGATAGGGGCAGGAAATTTGCCCTGCGTGTGTGTGTTTGGTGAAGGGAGAAGGGGGATTGTGTGTGTGGCGAAGGGGGAGGGGGCATTGTGTGAGCGTGTGCGTGTGTGTGTGGTGAAGGGGAGGGGGGTTGTGAGTGTGAGTGTGAGTGTGTGTTGTGTGTGTGTGTGTGTGTGTGTGTGTGTGAGTGTGTGTTGTGTGTGTGTGTGTGTGTGTGTGTGTGTGTGTGTGTGTGTGTGTGTGTGTGTGTGTGTTGTGTTGTGCTGAATTGGCAGCTGGAGGTGAACGGCGCACTGGACCACTTTCGAGATGCACATGCAGCCGGAACAACAGCCGAACCAAACAGGCTGAAGAACCAGCTCACCAGTGATCCACACGTCCTCCCCCCCCCCCACCAACACGTCCCCCACACTTGCAAAACGTACCTTGTGCCGTTGTTGAGAGAAAGGCAAGTGTGAAGAAGATGGTCAGGGTGAGGAGTGTCCTCGCCGCGTTGCGCTGGAACCAGGAAGGCGGCTGCGCCCGGGGACGACGACGACAACGCCGATGATGACTGTCATGGTGTTGTCGTTGTCGGTGTGTGCACGGTTTTTCCACTGCCGGCACTGCTGGTGCTGGTGCCGGTGCCGGTGCCAGAGTTGCTGTTCTGTGCTGCGCGTGCACGCAGGAACCAGCGCCGAAGAAGCTGTGGTCATCTGTGTGTTGGTGCCAAGGCATGGTTCCGCCTCGGCGTGTGGTTGTGTGCGTGTTGTGTGTGCGGTTGTGTTGGGGGGAAGGGCTCAAGGCCTCCCGTTTGCGTCGAACGCGCGACGTGCACACAGCCCACTCACGCACTGGGAGCGTGGAGTCAGGGGGCAGCAGCACAACAACAAAATACGACGCTGTGTTGGAGTTGGGCCACAGCAGAGGTCGCTTGCTTGCTTGCTGCGGTAATCGAACAGCGAGCAGCTGGTCAAAAGGGAAGGAGAAACAAAGAACGCACACCGCAGTGATGATTTAACGTGCGGTGATGCTGATGTTGTTGATGTTGTTGCTGTTGTTGATGTTGTTGAACCTGTTGTGGTTGAAATAGAAAGGCGTTTGGCGGGAAAGCAGCACGCTGAACGTCGAACGAGACAACGTGCGTGTGCGCCTGTTGTGGTGCAATGCGAGTGTGGGGGAACGTGAGTTTGTCAGCAACAAGCAACCCCCAACGTGCACAAGACAGAAAGAGACAGAGCGTGTGTATGCGGTAACAAGGAGGCCGGTCACATCAACGAAAAGCAGCATGCACACACACCTCACGATACAATGACGACAACACAAACGAGACAGCAAGAAGGGGGGAGGCAACAACACACCACACCCTTCTTCGTCCTTGTTGTGCTGCGTGGTTTTGCTTTGCTTTGTGTGTGCGGCTTTGGCTGTGTGCAGTTTTCCCAACAATTTTTTTTTATTCTGCTCCTGCTGCTGTTGGGTGCTTCTTGTGGGAAGCGCTCTACTGACGTCGTCATTGCGGATTGTTGGTGTAAGATATTCGACGTTTATCTTGGGGAGCGCCGACCGCGTCACTTCTTCTTCTGCTGGCTGGTTGTTGTTTGTTTGGTTTTGAGTGAGCGTTTGGAGCAGCCAGCAGCGATCATCATGTGTGCGACAACGATGAGAGTGGCTTCAGTGTGGATGCTGGCGGTGGCTGTGGCTGTGCTGGCCACGGCTAACGTTGGTGGTGTTGCGGCAGCTCGGACGGAAGTGGACACGGAGTATGGGCGCATTCGCGGTGACAACGAACCCGAAGCGAGGCTCACGGTCAGTGAGCGCTGTTTGTGTTTGTGTGCGCGTGTTTGTGTGTATCTGTGTGTGTATCTGTGTGTGTATCTGTGTGTGTATCTGTGTCTGTATGTGTGTGTGCGTGTGTGTGTGTGTGTTTGTGTGTGTGTGTGTGTGAGTGTGTGTGTGTGTGTGGGTGGGTGGGTGGTTTTGTGTGTGTATCGCTGTACGTCGTATATGCGTGTGTGATATTGTGTGTGCGTATCGCAGTATGCATATCACCATGGTCGCGTTTGTTCGCAGTGCCTAACGTCCCACACAACAACATCGCACACATAATCTCACCCTCAAAACACACACTGACTGACGTCCAGGGGTTCTATGGCATCCCGTTTGCCGCGCCTCCAGTGAAGGACCTTCGCCTGCAGCCGCCAGTACCACCCACGCCGTGGAACAAGACGCTCGACTGCACGGTGGACAAGTTCTTCCACACCTGCCCTCAGTTCCACATCACCAAGAACATCTTCTATGGCCAGGAAGACTGCCTGTACATGAACATCTACGTCCCCGACGAGGCTGAGAAGGAGCCTGTGCCAGTGCTCTTCTGGATCTACGGCGGAGGTGTGTTGCGGTGTGTGAGAGGGAGAGTTGGTGGCTGCGTGTCTGTCTGTGTGCAGTTTGGTGTGTGTGGGCCTGAGTGTGTGTGTGTGTGTGTGTGTGTGTGTGTGTGTGTTGCTGTGCACGTTTCTTTCTGGCTCTTCCTCAGGGGCCCTGGCTCTCTGCCTGAGCCTGCACACGCGTGTGTTCATTTGTGTGCTTGTGGTGGATTGCTGTGTTCTTCAGGCTTTGATCTCGGGGATGAGTTTGAGTTTGGGTTTTACCGCGCAAAGAACCTGGCCAAGAAGCGCCGCGTGATTGTCGTCGAGACAAACTACCGCCTCGGCGCCCTCGGCTTCCTCGCAAACGAAGTACATGGCTCTGTGTGTGTTTGTGTTTGTGTGTGTCTGTCTGTGTCTGTCTGTGTCTGTGTCTGTGTCTGTCTGTGTGTGTGTGATTGTCCTTTCCTCTGTGTCTGACACTTCCATTCACGATGTGATTTGCTTTGTGTTGCCACCACCACCACCTCCTCCTCCTCTCCTCCTCCTCCTCCTCCTCCCCGTCCATCCAAACAACAGCATCTCCGCGCCAGCAACCCCTTGAACACAACCGGAAACTTTGGCGTCCA